CAGGTTAGCACTAAACTGGAAAGTGACCTATACTGGTGCAAAAGGATGTACACAGGAACACTGGAAGTCAGAGGTAGTTTTATGGTACCTGTTTGCACTGTACATTTTTCACACTCCCACTTCATTTTCACAGGCATGAAATCTATTCATAAGTCACAGATAACAACTGGAACACCTGAAAAGCAGGATCTGAAGTCACCCTGCGATGACAGGCCTGCCACGATGACTATTTCAGATGGTCCAATGCAGAGCAGCCACAATCCTCCCATAGTGTGTGACACTACTGTCATCAGTCCTTGTTTTTCAGGCCTGGCCTCAACCCAGCCCCAGAGCGTACCTGTAATAAACAGCATGGGGAGCAGCCTCACTACCCTGCAGCCCGTCCAGTTCTCCCAGCAACTGCACCCATCCTACCAGCAGCCCCTCATGCAGCAGGTCCAGAGCCACATCAACCAGAGTCCCTTCATGGCTACTATGGCCCAGATACAGAACCCTCACGGTAAGAATGTCAGCTCGTTTGCTCAAGCAAGCAAAAAACTAAAGGCTCTGATCTGGAGCATTTGCTGGGTCCTTGGGCTTGCAGCACTCTATTTTCCTCTTCTATTATTGTTGCTTTAATTATGAAATTATTTTTCTCTTGCATTCATTTCCCTGTCCCTCCACTCCCACTGTTTCAGAGACAGACAGCAGGCCCACGTGCATGAGGAGAACAACTCAAACTAGTAGTCTCATGCAAAGCTCCAGCATCCACACAATCTTGTTTTCTTTCATGCACAGCTCTCTACGGCCCCAAGTCTGAAGTGGCCCAATACACACATACAGGCCTCTTACCACAAACCATGGTGATAACAGATACAGCCAATCTCAGCGCCCTGACTAACCTGACACCAACTAAACAGGTAACAGCCTTTAGCACATGCCTTTGTTCCCCCACCTTAGAACTGCACCAGTCTGCAGGTAGCTCCTTGCTTGTCAAAGAGGTTTTGGGTGTGTGGTCTACACCATCCCAGCAGGATGATCTTTCTTATCTCCTTGCCTTGCTGGTACTGGCTGCAATACTGGACGCATTAGAACAAGCTCTTCACTGCATCATTAAGGATGATGTAATCTCCTTGGAAACAGCACCTGCTTACTCTTCTGTCATGCCCGTTAGAAGGGATCTAGAAACCAGGCGCTGCTAACTTTCTTTTCTCTAGGCATTCGCATCTGACTCTGAGACTCACACAGAGTCTGGGATGCATACGCCAGTGTCACAGGCGCCAACGATACATTTACAGAACCAAGACACAACCATCCAGCACCTTCAGCCAGGCCCTCGCCTCACCTCAAGCCCTGCTGGTAAGAGCAGCACTCGCTATCATCTTAAACCACATACTGCCATTTCTCTTGCCGATACTGTAAAACCCAGACAGAAAATGGTAACTGGGGCTCACCGTTCTCCAAGAGAGCTCTACCAGTGTTTTGAGGGGTTTGAAAAGCTGGTACAAGGAAAAGATTCAGAGCACAGTCTGTGCAGACTGAGTAAGGCCAGGCTGTGGAAATAGGACCCTTCTTCAGAATCTAGAAAGGAAAATAACCTTAAAAATATTGACAAAAGTCAGTGTCCATGCGTAGCCAATCCTGCAGGCAGTTTTCAGGGCTGAAAAGCCCAAGACTCCCTCATGAAGACACTCCAGTTGGATCTTCCCAGTCCTGAGAGAAGAACTAGAACATTAACAGTCAACTAGAATCCTCAAATCTGAACTCCCCGATGCCATCAATCCTCTCAGGCTAGCTTTGTACTTGAGCTAGGTATACAATGGCACATAAAATAGAACAAGGAAGTTTTTAGTCATGCTGGAAATTCGAGTGTGTGCACACATAATAAGGGGACTGCAGTGCGAATTTGTACTTAACTTCTGCCTGTGCCTTTGACAGTGTCCTCCAGCAGCCTGGTGCTGTACCAAAGCTCTGACTCCACCAATAGCCACAGTCAGCTGCTGCCATCCACTCACAATGTCATCGAGACCTTCATCTCCACACAGATGGCATCCTCCACTCAGTAATCAAGACAGCTAGCTCAAGAGTGCCTGCCATGACCAACCTGTCAGGTGCAACTCCAACTGTGTTTGCCATCGCTGTCACCACTGCCTTCCCCAGGAAGGAAAAGCTGCTGCACTCAGCCGACGTCCAGCCCCTACTGCCTCATAGAAATCCCTTACTCAGCTGCCTCCATGAGAGAAGATGTCTCAGGCTCAAGACAGAAGCCATGGAAAGATGATGCTGGCACTGCTAAAATCTACTGCACCCCAAAAAACCCCAAGCAAACCCAAACTGCATGAGCCATCCAAGAACGACCAGATGTCCTTTTGTGGCTGCTCAAGAAGGAATCCCATTAAGATAGGGATCTGAATGCAATATGGCAAAAATACCAGGGCGTGGATGGGACTTTTGTTCTGCTCAGCCTTCATCAAGCTGGGCCTGTACAAACCTGCCAACACCAGCCTAAGCCATGCAGGAAAGAGCAAAGCTGAGCTGCCAAAGAAGGAACACCATCTTTAAAACACTCACCTCCTTTGCTGTAAAGAAGCACCAATGTGAACTATGAGAAATAATAGTATCTTGGAGGCAAAAGTGATAGAACCTGGTTCCTGGCTGCAATGAAAATCACCAAGAAACAGATTCAGGAATGGCTTGGCACAAATCTGTCAGTATGGGATCACTGACTACAAGCTACAAATCCTTTAATTAACTACAAAAATACCGAACATTGTCAGCTAAAAATGACCTGCCCTAAAATCATGCTATCCTAGTGGAAATGGCTTGGTTATTTTTGATATAGCTCTGCTTTGTTTTAAATGCAGAAATTAAAGTTTAACAGCAGTGAGGAGATTCCAGTTCTCTGCATTAACCATGTGGATTCTCATCTTGTGCATCTTGCTGAATGAGCCGGGGGACAGCATTCTCCACAGGTCCCTCACACTGCACAACACCTGGGAGGTTCCTATGCTCCAAAGAGCAGCGGTTCCTTCAGTTATTCTCTATAAAGATGTCAGCTTGAATTCATTTTATAGAACACAGTTCATTCTTAGCTTCCCTGTAGGCTAGATTCTGTAGTTCTTGACATGCAAATAATTATCCTGGGGTCTAAGAGTCTTACTTGCACTAAGTGAAGGGGTTTAGCCGTAAGGATCTACTTATATAATTCCTCTTCTAATGATTCCTCTCTCCTCTATTAACTCTCAATCTTCACATCACTGATATGTCACTAGCCAGACATGAAAGAAGCCCTAATTAACACTTTTTTGTCATTGTGACTGAAATAGAGCTATTCTTTCAACTGTGAAATGGATGAAAATCCTTGAGACTATAAAGTACTCAAGACTTTTAAAAGGTTAAAATATGAGGGAGAATTCAAAAAGAAAAAGCCCAACAATGAACTCTTCAGTTATCATATCTGGAAATTTCAAAATTGCAGACATCCATTACAGTTTGAATTGATATGATCTCCCTCTAGATATTATCAACCATCAGAGACTAATTTCAGTAACTAGATACTTTGAGGAATTTTAGCCTAGAATTGTTTCCTAACCTCCCATATGCATCATTTGCAAATACATATAACTTCCACTCAGCTTAAAAACAATCACCATAAAACAAGTAAAAAGATAATTTTAGATCACTATGCATTTGAAACCCCAGGTGGTAGCTTCAGTATACTGAAGTTTTAACTGGTCATAAGATAAGTAACTTGGCACATTCAGTTAGATGACTAGCCAATTTTCTACTTAGCCCTTCCATTTTTGGATGCCAACTGTGTTTTCTTGATTAAAAAACAGCAAGGATCTTACAGTAAGAAAGAAAACATCTTGGGTTTTCCCACGCTCAAAGAGCAACAGTTCACCATTTCAGTTTCTCTAATCTGGTCTCCTGAATAGGGCAAATGAGTTAGAACTACTGAAACTCAACAATCCTAAAAACACAAGAATAATATTTATCTGATAACAGGTCATTTCCTGAAATATTGGAGCTGAAGTATAAATGGACTAAGAGCCATAATGAAAACTACCAAACCCCACTGTATTTCAGAGAGATAAAAGTCATAATCAACCAAAACAAGGACTGAAACGCAGGGACTTTCAAGTTAGGCTGAAGTCCTTCCTGTAGCAGTCTCATGGCATTGATCACCAAGCAACTAAAGAGCCATCTTTGGCCAACATTATCTCTGCTGGGGGAGCCATCTGAATACAGCAAGAAAGCCACTGTTGTACAAAGCCTGCCAAATTAAATAAGACTAATAGTGTAGTAGAATTTAATAACAACAAATACCATAAAAAACTATACATGAAAAAAAAATTCAAAGGACTAACTTGAACAGAGCTACCTATTTATAACAAGTCTGAAATAAGCTCACTGCACACTCTGTATGCAGAGGCCCTGGAGAGGTGCAGATTACAGAGGGATTAGTAACATGGCAGGTTTCAACAACAGATTGTTATGATGATCACAGGAAAAAAAAAAACCCACAACATAAGGGGGCCCTGATATCTGACAGGATGTTTTTGATAAATTAGTCTCCCACAGGCTGGAGTTATTCTTAGTAGGCATCTAGGAGAGAAAAAGGAGTTGATCACCTGTTGCCATGTAAACCAAATTCAATTCATCACATACTTTCTCCAGGACACAAGATTTGGTTTAATGATATGAAGGAGCAGACCTGGAGGGATGCAGCTATGATTATATCCCTCTGTCACGCAAGTCTGTGCACAGTAGTTAATCCTTTTACACTAGGTCTGCATAGGCAGCAGCCTAGATAACTGCTGTGCTAGGAGAACAGCATTCCCTTCCCCAGGGGATGCCAACAACATAGGAAGTCACTTAATTAGACTCTCAGGCCACTGAGCTTTTAGAATAGAAGCTTTGCCAATTAATTTTCCCTCATATGCAACAACTCTTTGTTAGTTATTTTTTTCAGCATCCTTCATCCATCATAATCACCTGCCGTTTGCAGAGCAAAATCTTCATTCTCTTTTTTTCTTCTTCTTTTTCTTCTTCACAACTCCTGGCAACACTGAGTTCTCTGTACAATTGCTGTCCTGTCTCTCATGCTGTCCATTTGCAGACACCAACTGTGGCAAATCTTTGCTGATCTGGTCACACTCTGCTGGGTCTATTATTTTCTCTTGAATATTGTTCTCTCCCCTAATTTTCTTTTTCTTCTTCTTTTTCTGTCTGTGCTCTACATAACCCTGACTCTGATCCCGGCTGGAAACCTGGGACAATGCAGGAAAAGCACTTTGCTTCAGAATGTCTGCGGCTGACACAGCCGCCTCCTGGTACTTTTGCCACTCTTGGTCGCTGTCCGTATCACTGGAAAGGTAACAAAAGGAAAGGCACTTATGTTATACTTCTGCCTTGAATTCACCCAAAGCACAAACAGCAGAGTAATCTAAGATGAGAACACCCAATAAACACCCCGTGGCTTTGGGACTCCAACACAAGTTAGCATTTAACCAGTTTGAAGGCTGAGGTGATCTTTCCCCTCCTAGTATGTTGTAACGAACATCTCCTACAAACATTTCTAGTTCCCTAGCACTAAAAAAAGAAACAAAAAAAAAGATCTGCTCTAGTCAAATATAGGACTCATAAATAAACACTTCTCAAGCTCTTCAGCTTTCTATTCCCTTGCAAGCATCCCAGCTGCCTCTGAAATGTGGGACACAATAGTACTATAGGAGCAAAGCAGCTGACAACACCTCACCTGGAGCTAGACGGCTGTCTCCTTGCTGCAGGGCAAGGCTCCGATTTCCCACAGTCTCCTGGGACAGAGGAAGAGAAGAGGCGAAAACCTAAAATATGTACAAGAGAATTTTAGCCACAATATAAAACAGAGGTGAAAGCAATCAGCAGCAATCTCCCTGGGAAGCCTCACTGCTGTTATTGTATTGCTATAGTGGTTGACAGCAATTATTTGAGACTATCTGAGAGGAGTTAGGGCACAGAGATCACAGCTTCAAAGTAACAGCCTTCGTGGACGCTAAAAGAAATCCTTCTATTGCAAACACTTATTAGTCACTTGGGTGTACAACTGGCAATGGACAGGATCCATCCCACTTGCCATCATTTAACTAACAATGTCACAAATGGCTGTGACTAGAACTCACCATCATCTGCAGAGTCAGACTGTTGCACAGACGTTTGTGAAGCTCCTGATGAGTCCTTCAAGACCGTGATGAAACTAAACAGAAAACCCCAGTCAGATCTTAAGACAGGTTTGTGAAAACTGAGCTAAAGTTGGGTATTTCTAGGAAACAGGACTACAGGGACATGTTACATAGCCTCTTACTTTTTTCTTAGTGAAGCTGTCTCACCTCCCTGCTTTCAGAGCAGACCATGCCTTCTCTCCTTAGCAATGCATGCCACAAGAATGACTTAAAAGCAGCATTTCTAAAGCCAACTCTAAACACCAGGAATTCTAGTTCTCAGTGCTGTATTTACACAATAAATACACACAGTGGCAGCCCAGTCAGAGGCATACTGCTGGCACAACCCCCAATCAGGTATTGGCTTAGGTTGTAAGAATAAAGAAAGGCATGCCAGCCTTTAAATCATGAAAGTGGTAAGGCACCCAAATGCTACTTTTTCTTCCCCACAACACATTCACCACAGAGGCAAATGGAGAGAGGCAGTACTGCACAGGGAGTCTTTACCTGAGCAACACAGCACGTGGGCCAGGTTAGTTAACAGAATATTGGAAGTTTGCATTAAACACAAGAATGATGGAAACAAGAAGAGAAACTTCTCCTCCATACCCAGGCTGCACTTGGATCTTTAATTTCCTGCTTTTAGCACACAAAAGCATTGGTGTACTTTACACACAGAACAAACTTTAGCATTGCAAGCCAATACCTGTCTAGCATTGCTCCCAGTTTCTTTGCAACATGTGCTCTGAACTCTGGTGTTGTCTGTAGTTCATTTCCATCCTCATCATGACTGTTCACCTCATGCCTGTTTAAAATAATAATAATGATTGTATTTTTCAAGGCCAGGAACACCTGGTGCTCTCATCCAAACAAGAGATAAGGGACTGTAAAATTTTCCGCCCTCTAGTAATCAATTAATACTTGATAGGGAAGACTGCTAAGAAAGATGGAAAATAGCCCTGTAGTTTGGTTCCCAAAAAAGAGCTAAACATTATTTAGCCATCTCCATCATAGTTAATAATTGGATGATTATTCTCATTGAAATAGCCTACAAAAGCAAATAAGTGACATCAGGACATCCCTTCTCTTGCATGTAGCTCCTGTGTAGGCTGCCACAATTTACATAAAACTTGTCCCAGGAGAGAGGATTTTATTAAGCTGCCTGGCTGACAGCCTTCAAAACTGAGCCTACAGAAATGGTGCAAACTTAGATAGGACAGCACCACCTCCATTGCCAGGCTCCTAATTCAGGTGTTGCTTTCCAGCCAATGAGTGCTTGGCTTTGCAATTGCAATACTTTTTGAAGAAAGAGAAATTTTGTTATATGTTACTGTACTAATTCCTTCACAGGACACTTGCGGAGTCAGATTTCTGACACTTGGAACTAATGCTGAAACTGACAGCAGTAATACATATTCCCCTAGTGCTAGAGGGATGAGAAATGGGCTTTTAAAAAAATTATTTGCTTTTCCAGATTCAAGCATCATTCCAGATTATGGTTGGACCAATTCCTAAAACAGAATACGCTCTTTCAGTAGGAGGAGAAAGTAAGTGTAACTGTAAGTAGCACAAATAGGATATACTGTATTTTTTTCTTCAGTGAAACAAAAGTTTGAAAGCAGAAACAAAATACCTTAGGCTAGGCTGAGCAGGCTGTAACTGATCCTTTTTAAGGCCACCTGACAAAGGAAGAAGGCAAGTTTAAAAGACCTGTGACCAGGACTTCTTTAATCCCCCTTCTGGCACATCTGATTTTATAGCATAAACAGCCATGCCTGAAAGACAATCCGCACCCACCTTCGGGGGAAAACAGTTATGAGGGGAAAGGGAAATTTCCCACCGGCCAGGCTGTAGGAGACAACCTGCCCGGGAACGGGCTCTGGCCCCGGCAGGCGGCCGCGCATCGACACGGCACAG